GCCCGCTTCGCGACCCCGGGCTGACGCCACGGACCAAGGGGCTCTGCCCTCCCCCTCACCCCGGGAGTGCTGGTGGGTCTGGGGACGCTACTGTGAGGGTCGGAGGAGACGGACGAGATCCGGGATCCGATTGGAGGGAACGGTCCGGCGTGCAGACAGGAGTGTGAGCATCTGGGGTCTCCCTCCTCTTCTGAAAAATAAGCAGATCCTAACCAGGAAGATGACAGGATTGGATAATCATCACACCCCATGCCTCCGTCCAGGCTGTTTCCATCAGCGGGATCAGAACGCGGGTCAAGACAGAGCCCAGGACGGCAGGTGTGGAAGCAGCGACCCTCCGATGTCACTCTGTCATTCCACAGGAATACGAGGCAGAAGTCACTTGCTCGAAGACCAGACATCTGGCTGAGTGAGGGGCCAGGAGTGCCCAGCCTCGGAGTCAGGCCCACCAGGCTTTGAATCCCAGCCCCACCATTTACTCTCTGTGTGACCTTTGACAAATGACTGAACCTCTCTGAGTTCCAGTCTCTTCGTCTATAAAATGGGATTATCACAACCCCAGGTTGTGATAAAGTCAGAATGAGATAATTGAATATACCTTGTACAGATGCAGTGCCTGTGACAGTTTGGTACCTAGCAGCTCTTGCTCCTGTGTCACCATCACCATCCTCATCCTCCCTGAGTGGCGGAGCTGGAATTAGAAGTCAGGTGTTTGGCTTCCCAGACTGCAGTTCACCATATGAATGGCATATCCGTTTCCAGAGTAATCTCATGTATGCTTTCCACTCTGACACGAGCAGAGTAGGAGTCCAGCCATTTTTAAAGATAGAAACGGAAGAGGTAAAAAGACTGTCCCAAAGTCACCACCAGGCAGAGGCAGAGCTCAGCCCTCCTGCCTTGCCAGGTCACACCCACCACATTACCTCCCTCCCCCCTCAGTTAGAATCTGGTCTTCTAGGGTACCCTGTGTCTCCCTCCTCCTGAGACTTGGTAGAAGATGAGTCATTCATTAATTCACCAGTTATTCGTCGAGGCCTTGCTACACACCAGGCACTGTTTTAGGTGCTACAGGTCCATCCGTGAATGAGACGAGGTCTTTGCCCTTGTGGAGCTAACATTCTCATTGGGTTGGGAAGATGAGACAGATAATGTATGAGTCAGTAAAATCATTTCAGAGTGATATTTGTTCCATGGGGGAAATAAAACCACCTCTGTCTCTGTCTCCATCTCCCATCTGAAGTCAGAGGTCTGTTCCCACCTATCAACTCTTCAAGAAAAGGTTCAGAGGGTGCAGGGCTTTGCCAATGAGCTCGATGCCCAGAGACTGAGCCTTCCACTTGCAGCACTGCTGATCTGCCATCTGCAGCTGCACTCCTCATGCCTGGAGTGAACAACTGCAGCAACCATACCCACCTGGGCTCCACCATGCCCCTTTGGCTTCTTGCCTGCCAGAAGGCTGGCTAGAGAGATGAACTCTTCTCCTCTCCCCTTCCACTGCTGAGAGCTGCTTTCCCCGGCCGCACAGCCCCATCACCAAGGACCCTGGTGCCAGGTCTGCTCTCCCTGCCCCCACCCCTTTTTGCTTTCCGGTGGAAGAGGGTCCTTAGAGGAGATGGGTTTTCCCTCTCTGGGCTTCTGAGAATCACCAGAAGAGACTTGCTGTTGGCGCAGTCAAGAGCCTCCTCCATGTCACCTTGTTCCTGGGGACTCTGCTGACCTGCCTTCTCCCAGTGGCTTCCTGGATGAACATCCCAGCCCAAAAAGGAAGCTGGAGAGTTGCCATTTGCTTAAGAAGAAGATTCTTCACCTGACAAGAGGACTCACCCCAGGCCTCTTAGCCATATCTCCTGGCCTATTGATTCTCAAAGTCCTTGACAGAGTTTTAGCTGTCTATGGTAAAATGAGGAAAATTCAGATCATTGACATGAAGTTTTCTAAAATTTAGCTCAAGATATTAAGTGTAAAGGATGCATACAATTTAAAACCTTTTCAGCCAGGTATAGTAGCTCACACCTGTAATCCCAGCACTTTGGGAGATGGAAGTGGGAGGATCCCTTGAGACCAGGAGTTTGAGACTGGCTTGGTTAGGATAGTGAGACTCCATCTCTATTTCTTAAGAAAAGAAAAAAAATTAAATGAAACAATGTTTTTCTAACTGTAGGAGGCAATCTGTCAATTGGGACCAATATTTTTTTAAGAAATAATATCCTGGTCTACAGAGGACACAAGAAAAAATAAAAAAATAGAAAATGTGTATGCATCACATATAGTAAGAGTAAATATTTTGTTAACCTTCATTTTGAGATTCTGTCTTTCATTTTGTTCCTTCTTTTCTGAACTATATATACAGAGGAGAGAGAGAGAGGTTTTTGGTCCCTACTTACCAGAGTAAAACACCACCACAAAAAATGGAGCATTGTTCCCAACACTCCATTGTTTTTCCCTACTGGCTCCTGTAATCCAAGTGCTGGAAAATCTTTGTTATGGATTTAAATATGATTTGCCTTATTGACAATGTAAATTGATACAGTGTTTTTGGGAAACAACTTTGTCATGCACACAGAGCCATAAACATATCATAAGATTTGATTCATTAATTTCCTCTTTGCAAACCTATCCTTAGGAAAGATCTTAAATATTTAAAAATTTCTAAGTGTTTTGAGGCTTCCTGCATATAATAAAGAAAAATTAGGCCAGGAGTGGTAGCTCACGCCTTGTAATTCCTGCACTTTAGGAGGCAGAGGCAGGAGAATTGTTTGATCTCAAGGGATTGAGACCAGTCTGGGCAACAGAGCAAGACTCATCCCTACAAAAAAAATTTTAAAATTAGCTAGGCATAGTGGTGTGCGCCTGTAGTCCCAGCTACTCGGGAGGCTGAGGCAGAAGGATTACCTGAGCCCTGCTTGTACCACTACACTCCAGCCTAGGCAGCAAAGCCAGACTCCAACTAAAAAAAAAAGAAAGAAAGAAAGAAAAATTAAAACATCTTAAATGTTCAACAATTGAGAACTGGTTGAGTAAACCAATAAATATTCATCTACTTATACAGCCAATTAAAGTGGAAGTCATAATGATATGAGGAGAATGCCTTTATAATATAATATTAAAATTGTATGAAAAACCTATCATCAGCCGGACTTGGTGGCTCAGCCTGTAATCCCAGCGCTTTGAGAGGCTGAGGTGAGTGGATTACCTGAGCCCATGGGTTCAAGACCCACCTGGGCAACTTGGCGAGCCCTCATCTCTACAATAAATCAAAAATTAGCCAGACGTGGTAATGTGCGCCTGTAATTCCAGCTACATGGAAGGCTAAGGCGGAAGGATCGCCGGAGCCCAGCAGGTCAAGTCTGCGTGACAGAATGAGACTCCAACTCAAAAGAAAAAAAAGAGAGAGAAACCTCTCATGACAGATAAATAAAATGTGAGAAAGCACCAAAAATAAATAAATAAATAAATAAAATTGTAGAGTAACCACCCACAGTGCTACTAAGTGCTAGGCAGTGTGCTAAGTGCCTTTCCTTTAATGACTCATTTAGTCCTTACAGTGTCTCTATGAAGCAAGTCCTATTGTTATCCTCATTTTACAGATGAGAAAACTGAGCAAGTCATTTTCCGACACTTCCTTGACACCAACTGGATATCCAGTCATTCAGTTCACTTCTGACACTACCCAGACTCAGCACAGATCCCACAAGTTAAGGATTCAGTCCCACAAGGCTGCCCCCATGTTAGATGCCAACCGCAGGTGGGGTCCGCAGGCTACCCAAATTTCTGCCTGGCCAGCTACAAATTAAGAGGTTATCATGACCCTTCCTCCAGGCTCCGTAATTCACTAGAATGACTCACAGAACTCAGGAAAGTGTGTGCTTACGATTGCCATTTTGTTATAAAGGAAGCAGCTCAAGAACAGCCAGATGGAAGAGGTGCATAGAACAAAGTGGGGGGGGGGATTCCACATCCTCCCTGGGCAGCAGCCTCCTAGCACGTATCACTGTTCAAGCCAAAACTGCTAGGGCTGAGTTGCTTCTGGCTTTGATATGGGATTTCATTACCTAGGCATGATTAAACCAGTGGCCATGAGACTGAGCTTAACTTCTAGTCCTCCTCCCCCCCGGGGGGCGAGGGGAGCCTGAAAATGAAATCCTCTAATCATGCCCTTGTTGCCGCCCACCATGAGACACCTCATTAGCATAAATTCTGGTAGGGTTGACAGGTCTTACGAATAACAGATACTCCTGTCACTTAGGAATTCTAAGGGTTTTAGGAGCTGTGTGCCAGGAGCTGGGAGCAAAGACCAATATATCTATATCCCACTAAGGTAAGAGAGATTCACTTGCCCAAGATCACATAGTATGTGACAGAGCTGAGAATTTTAAAAATTCATATATATAAACATTTACTGGAAAGAAATACCCCCAAAATGCTTAAGCAAGTTAGAGAGTGGGGTTACATTAAAAATATTTTAATAGGATTATACACATATATGCAGTCATAGGAAATCTAGCCTTTACTACGATGTAGAGTAGAAATGCTGCCTTATTTGACAGTCTTAAAGCTGTGGAATATTTGCACTGAAGAACCTCTTTTTTGTAGATAAGGAACTATGACCTACAGCACAACATGTCCCCACATCATACAGTGGGTTGATGACCACTGAGGCTAGAATCCAGTTTTCTTTTGCTCTTGTCCTTCTCACTTTTGTAGAAATCGGCTAGACGCTCCTCTGCCCTATTGGTATAGATCTGATACGGGTACAGATGGGAGCTTTCATGGGTGTTCACAATCCTGCCTTTTGCCCAGACTTTCTGATTCTGTATGGGACTCCCCAGCCCTTCCCATACCAAGCCTCAGGTGCTGGCTTGGAGGATTGTCCCTCTGGGGTGAAAGACCCAGTTTGGACTCGCCCAGCCGCCTCCCTGATCTAACCCTGGCCTTCACGAGGGGAAGAAGATGAGATAAGGGTGTAATCTTTCTCCCAAGTTATCTCAGTTACCAGAAACATGTCTCCTTTTCAGGGCTCTGTGGACTGCCCTACGCTGGAGTTTGAGTATGGCGATGCAGACGGGCATGCAGCAGAACTGTCAGGTATGAGGCTGATGGTCCGTGCTGGCGGGAGGATGGCCAGGGGGAGAGGGAGGACCCTGATCTCCCCATAGCTTGTCTGTTCTCAGCCGGTAGCTGTTCAACAAGGGCCGTTCTGCACATGTCCCTTCTCCCCACCTTTCAGTGGTAAATATCTCTTTCACAGTTCTTCCTGTGAATTTTCCTTGGCTGTCATTCTTCGTTCTGTCATTCTGTCACTCTTCCTTGCTTACCTATTTTTGTTCTCTTTGGTGCACTCTCAAACATGTTTCCTCACCACCTTTTCTCTGTCCCTCTTTCTCTTTCTTTCACCCTTATCTCTGCCTGCCCCCTTCTTTCTCTATCCCATTCCATTTTGCTCCCTTCTCCTAATACCAGTCCCTTTTTAAAACCTCAACAATGTCTGAGGAAGAACTCTAGACCTCTGGCCAGTAGAGTGAGGCTGGACCCTCACCCACATCCGTTATGGTGGAGTTCTACTCCGATGCTTGTGAGCTGGAGCTCAGGATTCCATTCTTCTTTCCATACAGGGCTGCTTCTCTCCATCTGGATTTTCAGCTTAGGGTAAACGTTGCATTAGGGGCCTCTATGTTACACGTGCTATGAATGGCAGTTATTATTAGTAAGCCAGCTTTGGGTGAAATGGTGTGAAAGTTAAATATTCTGTCACGTGGAAGTGACACTTTGAGACATGCTTTTTCAGAGAAAAGAGACATCTTTAAAGAAGTTCTTGTGAATAAGTGCAGGGAATAAATTTTGTGATGAGTGACAGAGAAATAGGGAGCTAAGTTTAATAACCAACAAAGGATTCGAATCCAGAATATGAAAATGTAGATATGTAGAGAAGCGAGACGAATAACCCAATAGAGAAGCAGGCAAAGAATGAGTAGGAATTTATAGAGGAGAAAGCCAAATGGTCAATAAGTATATGAAAAAGTGTTGAATTTCATTTGTTCAATGGGGAAAAGCAAATTAAAATAATGGGATAATATTTCACAATCATCAGATTACAAAACCTAAAAGCCTAGAGTTGATGAGGGTTCAGAGAAATGAGTGCTCTTATACACTGTTACGCCTGGGAGCAGGGTATAAAACTAGAAAGCAACTTTGTCATATCTAATCAAGTTGGAGATGTCGCATGTTATAACCCAGCAATTCTCCTGGATGTGCACACCAAAGAAGCTTACACTTGACCACAGAAAGGTTCTTGCAGCCTTATGTATCGTTGTGAAACATTGAAAATGATCCAACATGCCCATCAGTAGGGAAATGGTTTAAACTGTTGCGTATTAGCATAGTATACTACTATGTGAGGGGAGACCCAACAAAACCCAGAATTATCTTTTGGAGGATGGGCCGCTTACAACACAGGCTTCCCTCACTAGCTAAGTGTTCTAGGAACCCATCAGCATCAGTGTACCAGCTAGCATTGTTGTGAGAGGCTGTGTTCGGCTTCAGTGAATTTTTTTTGGAGTCTTTCGACTCATTTGTCCATTTCATGATAGGTGATTTACGAGCGCACCTGCCCAAACCATGCTAAGTTTTCAGCAGTTTTTGACCCAAAACAGCATGGCCCCCAAATCCCCCGCACCTCATTTACCCAATCTCGCCCCAAGCGACCTTTTTTTGTTTCCCTGGATAAAAAACGTCTTCCAAGGGGAACATTTTGCTGATGTGGAAGAGGTGAAACAAAAAATGGCAGAAGTGCAAAGGCATCAAAATGGACGCGTTCAAAAACTTTCGAGCAGTGGAAAAAGTACCTTGATGGGGTAGTGTATCCAACAGAGAGGACTTTGAAGGTGACTGAAGTTTAAACATGTAAGAATAAATACATAATTTTTTATAAATAAATTCTGGCTTTTTGGGCCCTCTTTATATAGCCATTAAAATAATTGACCTGGCCAGGCACGGTGGCTCAGCCTGTAACCCAGCACTTTGGAAGGCTGAGATGAGAGGATTGTCTGAGACCGGGGGTTCAAGACCAGCCTGGGCAACTTGGTGAAACCTCGCCTCTACAATAAATCACAAAAACTAGCCAGACATGGTGGTGTGTGTCTGTAGTTCCAGCTACTTGGAAGACTGAGGCAAAAGGATTGCCTAAGTCCAGCTGGTTGAGGTTGCGGTAGCCATGAGCATGCCATGGCACTCCAGCCTGGGTAACAAGAGTGAGACTCCAACTCAAAAAAAAAAAAAAAAAAGGAAAAACAGAACAATATCATATGTTGTTTACAAGCATGTACATATGTAGAAAAAAATATTAGAATGGACATGTTCAAGTTCAGGCTGAACACCAGGTTCATTACACTGTTTTTAAGATGGAGATAAGATAGTCTGAGAACAGTGTGAAGCAGATATGACCAGTGCCAACATTTGTTTAATCTGGGCAGAAGATGAGGTATCTTAAATGTACTATTCTGTATTTATCTGTGTATGGAAATTCATAATCTAAAATTTAAAAAACAAAAAGAAGAAAACCAAAGTTTATTACCTAAGAGCCTTGCTCACTTTTCTAGCTGGGCTTGTGGTGCTTTACTCTTAAATACTGTGTGGATGTATTCCCGTTCTCTGCTAATGACTGAAGAATTTAAGGAATGGGATTTGCTTTTGTCACTCCTGGATTCTGGAGCTCAGGACTCAAAACCTTCTACCCAGAAAAGGTGTTTCTCAACCATTCGACAGCTGGCTGGAACTAAGTGAATTTCTCCTGCTTTGTGAATTACCTGTGGCCTAGTTCGATTTCCAGGAAGGGTCTCAGGTGGGGAGCAGAGATTTTGAGTATCACCTGTTGACTTCTTGATTTCAGTCATCTTCTATATAAGATGAGGGTGCAGGTATAATGTTTTAGAGTGTGTGTGTGTGTGTGTTGAGGAAAGGGTTCTCTGTATTTTGTCTCAAAAGGCTGCTGTCAGTAAAGTTAGATTTTCCCAGCATGGGCAGCTTTTTGGCAACCAGAGCTGTTCTCTGCATGGCTTTCTACAGCCTTTGCTCGGGTGGCCATGAGCAGGAGCCTAAACTGTACCCTTTGAGCAGGGAGAGAACAGACTCAGCAGGGAGAGAACAGACTCTCTGCAACCCTGAAGAGCCTAGCAATGACTTTTCAGCCCTTGTCCTGGCTTTCTGAACAACACAAGGATCTTGCCTCCAAGTCTGTGTTGGCCTCCTCTTCTCTAGAGATGGGATAGTCCCAGTCTGGGTTGACAGACCAGAAGGGTTGCAGCCCTAAAACACAGGAGTGATGGCATTAAGTTCTCTGGGCTCCAGCCCTCCTCCTGGCCCTCACCAGATGCTGAAGGCTGCCTCTCTCTACTCAGCAGCCAGCTGGCGAGGGAAGGACAGGTTTGATGGTTTAATCACCCAGGGACACAGTGACTATTTTTAACTGCTCGGAAAGGGAGGAAGCTGACTTTGGATGGAATTGGACACAGGAATGTGCTGGAAGTTCCGGCTCTCTCATGCCACCCTCTCTACCCAGCCCCTTCTTTAAGGATCTCCTGAACATGACTGTGTTCTGTCTCTCCTGCCACAGAATTGTATAGCTACACTGAGAACCTGGAGTTCACCAATAACAGGAGGTGCTTTGAAGAAGATTTCAAGACTCAAGGTGATCCCAGGTCTTCACCCAGAGACCTGCTTTCTTCCTCTGACATCTCAGCCTGCTTTTGTAAAAGGCTAAACAGAGTAGCAGTCGTTGTCCTCACCGTCACCCCATCACTGTGTGCCCTTCCCTTCTGTCCACGGGACACAGGGTTCTCCATAACCCAAGTGGAGAGGCCATGGGACAGAAGCAAGAGAAGCCTGGCGGGGCTGCTTTCCTTTGTAAAGGACAAGAGGAAGAGGGATGGTGAGGTGGGGGCTGGGCTGGTACCTGCTGCCCGATAGAACCCTTGGCCTTAGTGTTCAACCCCTGTCTCTGACCACTCTCGGTACGCATTTCATGTGCCCACACCATGACATTCCCAGACCTCCATTTCTATACTCGGTCAGTGTCAATTCAATTTTTATTTCAACAGATGTGTAGTAAGTATTCATTCTGTGTTAGATGCAAGAGGCAAGAATGAGAAGCAACTTCTAGAAAGATGTTATAGTCCGGGGGGAGAGGGAGGAGGCATGCACATCACAAAACTAGCTGAGGCCAAGAGAAAAATGCTGAGGATCACAGAAAAGTTTTTTTGTTTTGTTTTGTTTTGTTTTTTGTGGTTTTTTTGAGTTGGAGTCTCACTCTGTCACCCAGACTGGAGTGCAGTGGCCGCTCCCAGCCACCGCAGCCTCGACCTGCTGGGCTCCGGCGATCCTTCCGCCTCAGCCTTCCGAGTAGACGGAATTACAGGCATGCGCTACCACGCCCGGCTGAGTTTTTGATTTATTGTAGAGATGAGGTCTCACTGCCCAGGCGGGTCTCGAACCCGCGGGCTCAGGCAATCCACTCACCTCAGCCTCCCAAAGGCGCGGGATCACAGGCTGAGCAACCGAGCCCGGCTTTGTTTTGTTTTTTTGCGTTGGAGTCTCACTCCATCACCTAGGCTGGAGTGTGCACTGGCACACTCATGGCCACCCCAGCATCAACTTGCTAGGCTCCGGCAATCCTTCTGCCTCAGCCTTCCAAGTAGCCGGAACTACAGGCACATGCTACCATGCCCAGCTAATTTTTTATTTATTGTAGAGACAAAGTCTTGCCAATTACCCGGGCTGATCTCGAACCCACGGGCTCAAGCAATCCACTTGCCTCGGCTTCCCAAAGTGCTGGGATTACAGGCTGAGCCACTGAGCCCAGCCGAAAAGTTTTAAAATGTCTTGGGAGCAGAGCTTTTGACTAGAGCATTAGTGAGAAGGAGGTGATTTTGTATTGGGCCTGTAAGAATGGGAGAGATCATTTTCTACAGGGCCTATAACAATGATTGGGAATTAGATATGTACAGAGATGGACAGATTCCCTGAGGACAGGCAGGAGGACAGGATAGGACAGGCTGTGTGTGAAGAACAGAGGGGGTAGCAGAAGATGGAGAGACAGAGTGGGTTCAGGCCAGGACACTGTGGGTCCTTTCCTGTTCCTTATTCTCTCTCAGTCACACAAGGAGAGCTTTTGGAGGGAAGAATGTGTTAGGGGCTGTGGGTTTCCTTTCAGGAGCCCTCCCGGAAGGGGGTGGTAGCTAACCCTGCGTGTGCATGACCTTCTGCCCTCAGTGCAGGGCAAGGAATGGCTGGAGTTGGAGGAGGATGCCCAGAAGGCGTATGTCATGGGACTCCTGGACCGGCTGGAGGTGGTCAGTAGGGAGAGGCGGCTGAAGGTGGCCCGGGCAGTTCTTTACCTGGCCCAAGGTGAGTGACCGCCCTGACCAGCTGGAGCAGGGTGGGGCTGGGGAGAGAAGTGGCGTCTCGGGGGCAGGCAAGGAGTGAGGCAGGCTGCGCTGAGAGAGCAAGGTCACCTGCTTCCCCAGGACAGTCTTGTCGTGTGCTGGGAGGAGCCTGTGCTTCTGAGGAGGATGAGGAGGTGGTGTGGAGTGTGGTTCTGGATCCCTTGGGGTCCACCGTGATCGCTACAGCCACATCAGTGTTTATACTGCTGTTTTTTCTCTGACCTGCACTGTGATCCTCTGTGAAGACTAGCAGGAGAGTCAGTGTGGCCAGGGCTGGCAATGTGCCCCCGTCTGACCATGGAGACTTCTTTCATCAGCTGGGGCCGGGCCCCCAAACTGAGAGGAGGTTGGGCAGTGTCAGAGACTCACACCAAACCCTCTTCACTGTTTCCCACTGGGATTTGAAGGTTCAAGCCAACATAGCCTCAGGAGTAGATGCTGTGGGTAATTTGGAGATGATCAGAACTAAATGAGGTTAATTGGGGAAAAGTTTTCCAGAAGAAACTGTTAGCCAGGGGTTGGAAAGGGAAATGGAGTCGCCTCACCGGACTGGTGAAAGTAAGCCTGAGATCATAAACATGAGAATTGTTGACAGAACCAGTTAGTTGGGAGCTAAAAAATTGTAAAGAGAAAAACAGAGGAAAGAGGGTAGACACTGGATGAAGTAAGATGAGCAAACATGGCAGTGCCTGTGTGCTGGCCAACTTCCAAGTGTCGGTACCTTTATATTTTTGCCTAAGGGCTTTCTTTTTTTTGAGTCAGAGTCTTACTCCATTGCCCAGGCTGGAATACAGTGGCATGCTCACAGCCACCCAGTGTCAATCTGCTGGGCTCAAGCGATTCTTCTGCCTCAGCCTTTCAAGTAGCTGGAACTACGGGTGCATGCTACCATGCCCGGCTAAGTTTTTTTATATATTGTAGAGATGAGGTCTCACCAAGTTGCCCAGGCTGGTCTCGAACTCCTGGGCTCTCGCCTCGGCCTCCCAAAGTACTGGGATTACAGGCTTGAACCACCACACCTGGCCAGGGCTTTTTTTAAAATTTCTTTTATTTTTCAGAGATGGGGTCTCACTGTGTTGCCTAGCCTGGTCTCAAACTCCTGGGCTCAAGCCCGTCTACCATCTCAGCCCCCGAGTTGCTGGGATTACAGGCAGGTACCACCATGCCCAAGGGCCTTTTCTGCAGCCCACACAGGGCAGCCAGGAAGCATAGCAAATTAACGTTCAGCACCCCTCATCCAGTGCCTTTGTCGCCCCTTGCGGATGAGATGACCCTGAGTTTTGTGTTTTATGCTTTTCCAGAGCTTCCCCTTAGCGTGAATGCTTTTGACTGCCTTTTCTTCCGTTTCACTCTCCCAGTTCTTTATGATGATCCCTGGTCAGTTCCCAAGTAAGCCGTTTGCACTTGAATCCTCACTTATCTTAGGCTCTGCCTATGAGGGAATCCGCGTTGCAGACAGGCTGTGAATAAGTACACTGGACATGAGCCTGGAGACTGTCTCTCCTCCCCTGACTCATTCCAGGAAGTTCTAGGGGTCCTGTCACACCTTCAGATTACCAGGCAGGGTGGACGGGACGGTCTCGTGCTTATGGGGTAGGTGGAAGGAGCCAGGATGCTGCCTCCCTCAACCCCTGAGGCAACTGTCTGGTCCTTTAGGCACTTTTGGGGAATGTGACTCAGAGGTCGATGTGCTCCACTGGTCCAGGTACAACTGTTTTCTGCTCTACCAGATGGGAACCTTCTCGGCCTTCCTGGAGCTGCTCCACATGGAAATCGAGTGAGGAGGCTGGGGGAGGGCAGGCTGGGACACCCCTTCCTGAAATGGCCTCTGGTCCCACACTGGTGCTCACCATAGAGACCCCTGTGGGGAGCTGGGTCTCCTCACACCTCAGCCGAAAGCCTGTGGAAAGCTCCCCTCCCTCCAGTCATGCTCTCTGACAGGCTGTCCTCCCTCCAGGAGATGGGCTCGGCAATAGCTGCTGCCCCACTTGTAGCTTTAATCCTGGTCTTCAGGGGCTTATCCTAGGGGTTCACTTTTTATTCAAGCCCTTCTCAGCTCAGCCTAATGCTGGAATTAATGAGGGAAACTTCTACCCGAGAGCGTAACCCCAGGACAGGACCTGTCACTGTGCCAGTTCTCTCCCTCTCAGGGTGTAGCTCCATGGTGGCCTTACCTCCTGCCACCATTACAGTGACCCTCATTTTGTGCTACTCCGGGAGTTTTAGATAGGGTAAATCTGCATATTATGCATCAGGCATTGCTTAGCATCTGGTTTGCATCCAGCACAGTACTAAGTGGGACTGCTAGAGGAATGGGACTACCACAGAGGCTCCCTGAAGTGGCAAGGAAACCTGAGGACTCCTTTTCCTTAGACCAGTCGTCAGTGACTGCATAGCTAGGGGATGGCAGGTGCTGGTGTGTGTGATAAGGGAGGACGCACAGGGGAAAGAGGCCTATGGGTTCTCGTTCTTTCCCTCTGCCTCTGGCAGCAACAGCCAAGCCTGCAGCAGTGCCCTGCGGAAACCTGCCGTCTCCATCGCCGACAGCACAGAGCTCCGGTGAGTGGGACTGGCTATGGGCTTGGAATGGGGATGATTAGCACCAGGCTGCCTTCTCTCCAAATCCCAGATGACTTAGGCCTTCAGGAAGTTTCCCTCTTGCTAACCTCACCGGGGTGGGTTCCCCAAGGCCATCCCTGAGGTCTCGGACTGTGGCCTGCCTTGGGAACTTTCTGTGACCCCTCTGTGACTCCAGGGTGCTGCTGAGTGTCATGTACCTCATGGTGGAAAATATTCGCCTGGAGCGAGAGACAGATCCCTGTGGCTGGAGGACAGCCCGGGAGACCTTCCGCACTGAGCTGAGTAAGGCAGCACTTGAGGAGGGCGGGGATGGGGCTGATGGTATGGGAAGCCGAGCATCTACCTGGGAGACACGGACAGTCCTTTTTTAAAAAATTAGCATCCTGGCGGGGCTCAGTGGCTCAGTCTATAATCCCAGCACTTTGGAAGGCTGAGGCAAGTGGATTGCCTGAGCCTGTGGGTTCGAGACAAGCCCAGGCAACTTGGCGAGGCCTCATCTCTACAGTCAAAAATCAAAAGTTAGCCAGGCACGGTAGCACCCCTGTAGTTCCAGCTACTTGGAAGTTTGAGGCAGCAGGATTGCCAGAGCCCAGCAGGTTGACACCGGAGTGGCCATGAGTGTACCACTGTGTACCACTGCATTCCAACCTGGGCAACGGAGTAAGACAAAAAAAAAAAAATTAATATACTTTCTTTTAGGACAGACACTGCATGGCAGGCACGAGGGCCAGGCCTGATTGACTCCCTCTATCTGTGAGCTAGGACCTGTCATAGAACTTCTTTGTGCCTTGGTTTCCCTGTTATAAATGGGGGTGGCCATCCCTCTCCATCACGAGCCCCCATGAACAAATGAATTGATCACCCTGAAAACTGAGTTCTGTCCCTATGTAAGTTGGTGCTGTCATTTGAGAGGGATAGGTTAGGAAGGCCTGCTGGACTTTACAAATGTAGGTATTGATATGGGCAAGTGAAGTGCGTTGAGCCCCACAGCCGGAAAGCAACATCTTTGTAAGGGCTGCTGCTTCTGGTTTGGCATCCACCCCCAAGCATCACGCTAGGACCACTGCTAAGCATACCTTGCGACTTCCCTTCCTGCCCTTGAGGGACTTCTGCCCACTGGGCTCCTTCCGCCCGGGGGCTTTCTAGGCCTCCCCCTGAGAGCCAGGGGCTCACATTTTGGGGGGAGGCAAGAGCCTTCCTAGGCTTCAGGATCAGAGTTGTGGGGTGGGGTTTCTGCCGCCTTGGCCTCACCCTCTAAACACCCCCTCCACGCCCCAGGCTTCTCCATGCACAACGAGGAGCCTTTCGCCCTCCTGCTCTTCTCCATGGCGACCAAGTTCTGCAGTGGCACGGCCCCCCACTTCCCCATCAAGAAGGTCCTGCTCCTGCTTTGGAAGGTGGTCATGGTGAGCTGCTGACCCTCGGCCTCCCATCCCACCACACCAGCAATGTCCCATGTGCCTCATTTTCTCCTAGACCAGTTCCAGGAGGCTGGAGCGGGGCAACAGGACAGAGCAGCCTTCAGCCAACAGCCTTCAGCTGATGAGGAGGGGCAACGGGTTGTCCTGGGAGCATGAGACATCCTGTGCCAGGGCAGGCTTCCTGTTGCTCCTGGTTGGAGATGCCACCCCATGAGCCGGGGTGTGGGACACCACCCCCACAGAGCCAGTGTTAGATGGAAAGAATACAGGCTAAAAGTCAGGAGGGCTGGGCTCTGCCGAGTCAGAGGAACTTTGGGCAACTCTGTAAAATGTTTTTCTAACTGTAAAATGTTGGGGTGAGTGCCTGTCCTCCCTCCAGATAGAGGATTTACTTTTTAGAAAAAGCCAGGCGTGGTGGCTCACGCCTGTAATCCCATCACTTTGGGAGGCGGAGGTGAGAGAATTGCCTGGGTCCAGGGATTTGAGACCAGCCTGGACAACTTGGCAAAACCTCATCATATAATAAATCAAAGAATTAGCCAGGTGTGGTGGTATGTGCCTAGAGTTTCAGCTACTTGGAAGGCTGAGGCGGAAGGATCACCTGAGCACAGCAGGTCGAGGCTGCGGTGGCGGTGAGATGCCACTGCACTCTGCCTGGGTGACAGAGTGAGACTCCAACTTAAAAAAAAAGAAAAAAAAGAAAAAAATGGCTGGGTATGGTGGCTCAAGACTATAATCACAGCACTTTGGGAGGCAGAGGCAAGAGAATTGCCTGAGCCCACAGGTTCGAGACCAGCCTGGGCAACATGGTGAAACCCCGTCTCTACAGTAAATTAAAAAAAACTGGGCATAGTAGCGTGCACCTGTAGTTCTGGCTACTTGGAAGGCTGAGGCGGAAGGATCATCTGAGCCCAGCAGGTCAAGGCTGCAGTGACTGGGAGCGTGCCAGTGTACTCCAGCCAGGGTGACAGAGTGAGACTGCAACTCAAAAAAAAAGAAAAAAAAGTCCTTCCAAGGATATGGTTGCAGTCTTGTTACAATTATTCAACCTGATTTTTCAGCTTCTGGCCCACAAGGCTGGCTGAACCGTATACCCTCCAGGCAGCCTCACAGGGGAACTGTCTCCTGACCCCAGAGGAGATTGACTCTGAGGACAGATATCTGGATGTGCTTCTTAAAAAGAGAGATCAGCCCAGCGTTCCTGAAGCGTCTGGCCCTCTCCAGTCTTAGAGATGTGAATCCACCATTTTTCTCTGATCTACTTTCTAAATAAACTTTTTCAGACCTACCAAAAAAAGGAGATTGTTTCCTATTTTCTCAGTGGAAGCCCTCAGGAGTGCCTTTCCCAAGCTCTGGCAATGTCCCCCTCCGGCTTACCCTGGTCCCTGGGCTCCTCAGGCAGGGTGGTGACTGTGTCTACCCTATCCTGCTTTGCTACTTCCTTGCTAAGGAGCGCGTCTGAGGGGCCTGGAGTTCACGACTTTCTCTTCCTCCATGTTTCCTGGCCTCCTCCCTCTGACTCCCCTCACTTCCTTTCTTCTCTGCCCCCTCCCTGTTTCCTCCTCAGTTTACCCTCGGAGGATTTGAACATCTTCAGGCTCTCAAAGTCCAGAAGCGGGCGGAACTGGGGCTGCCTCCACTGGCGGAGGACAGTATCCAGGTGGTGAGGAGCATGCGCGCTGCCTCCCCACCCTCTTACACTCTGGACCTGGGGGAGTCCCAGCTGGCACCACCACCCTCCAAGCTGCGAGGCCGTCGTGGTTCTCGAAGGGTATGGACAAAGGCAGACAGTGGTGTTATGACACTGGCTGGCCACAAATCAACATCCCGAGCTACTGGGTGTGGGGGGAAAGGGGAGTCAATAACTCAGCTCATCCTCGCCCGGGTTGGCCCTGTGACTGCTTTGAAATCTTAGGATTTGCTTTGGCCTCTGTCCCTCTTCCCTGACAGGCCTTGAATTGCCCTGATATAACACTGTAATGTCACATCACGTAGCTATCTCTTGCTACAGGATTATCGGCCTGGGCCTCAATGCCTTAGCTGTCTGAACAGCAGTCAGGGTATAATCTTGGGATTGGGGACCTGGGGCCCCTGAAGATCTGTGTGCCTGGACTGAGGCAATTTACCTTTTTTTTGGGCAACAAGAAGGTCTCCTCTGAGCTAGCCACACTCTTATCTGGACCTGGAACCAGAGGCTAACTACATTTGAGAAATGACAGGTTAGGGTTCCAGGTGTATAGTCACACATTGCTTAACAACAGGAATACATTCTGAGATATGTGACATTATGCAATTTTGTCATTGTACGAGATTGCATCATAGAGTATGCTTACACAAACCTAGATGGTGTAGTCTACTGCACACTTAGGCATATAGTCTATTGCTCTTAGGTTAAAAACCCATATGGCAGGATACCCTACTGAACACTGTATGGAATTGTAACCCAATGGTATTAGTGTATCTAAAAATAGAAAAGGTACAGTAAAAATACTGTCAAGCCAGTAGTGGCTCAACACCTGTAATCCCAACACTTTGGAAAGTGCAGACAAGAGAATTATCTGAGCCTAGGGGTTCGAGACCACTAAGGAACTTGTCAAGACCTCATCTCTATAATAAATTTAAAAAGTATCCAGGTATGGTGGCACATGCCTGTAGTTCCAGGCTAAGGCAGAAGGATTGCCTGAGCCCAGCAGGTCAAGGCTGGTGTAGCCGTGAAGGTGCCACTGCACTCTATCCTGGGTGACAGAGTGAGACTCCAACTCAAAAAAACCAAACAAACCAGTATTATCTTTTTTTAATCAATATTTTTTATTATGATATTGTGGGGTACAGTTAAGGGTTAGGTATACAAATATGCTTCATTCAGGTACCCTTGTTGATAAGAGGTGTCTCCCCGACCAGTATTATCTTATGGGTACACCATTGAATATGCAGTCCATTGTTAACCAAAGTATCTATTGTACATGTTACTTACAGTCTACAGTCACGAAAAGGTCAGAATGACAAGTCGTATAATGTCGCATCACATAGCTATATCTTGCTACAGGATTATCGGCCTGGGCCTCAATGCCTTAGCAGTCTGCCTGGCCCACTTCAGTTCATCAGCAGGGCTAGACAGTCGTGCTCAGTCATCCAGTCTACATTCTCTGCAGTGCGATTTTTCTAACCTTTATTTTCTTGTTTTATAAAGCAACGCTTACTCATTGTAGAAAATTTGGAACAAATATAAAAATGTGATGAAAGGAGAAAAGAAAAATCACCCACAACCTTAACAACCAGAGGCAGTCACTGTTAACTTTTTGGCCTATTTCTGTCCAAGCTTTTTTTCTTTCTGTGACAAGATTTAAAATTCTAAAACCGCTTCCTCTGCCTAGCAGCAAGCTTCTGTCCTCCTCTTCCTCAGTCAGCCAGCTGGCATACACTTACAGAAGACAAACTAGATGAATGTTCACCTAAGCAGAGCATAATTAGGAAGGAACGTGCTGGCAAAAAAAAACAACAAAACAAAACACACCCGTGCTTTCTGAAAGCTAGTAACTGTGACCTTGGGATGATCTTTGCTTTGTTCCCTGGCCACTGGTGTGTTTGCCTAAATCTTCTTGTCCTGGGATTGGGCCTGGTGGGGACAGTAGGGCTGAACTGGGGAGTGGGCTGAGTTCTGACTCCATGCTCCCTGAAGTCTGGAAGCCCATGGGGTAGAGGGTGACCACAGACAGGGATACCCAGGGTGAGAGCTCTGCCCACCTTCCCTCCCTCCTCCCCCTCCAGCAACTCCTCACTAAGCAGGACAGCCTGGACATCTACAATGAACGGGATCTCTTCAAGACTGAGGAGCCAGCCACAGAGGAGGAAGAGGAGTCTGCCAGCGAGGGGGAGCGAGCCTTGGATGGAGAATTAGACCTACTAGAGCAGGACCCTCTGGTGCCACGTCCACCCTCACAGGCACCCCTCTCTGCTGAGCGGGTGGCCTTTCCCAAGGGCCTCCCCTGGGCCCCAAAGGTCAGGTAGGTTTCAACAAACCCCCTGTGTGTTAGAGTTTCAATTACCAAAGGCCCAGGATGAAGCCATCTCCATATTCATCCTGGCTCCTTAAGTGGTTCTGGCGGCAGAACTCCTAGTCTGAAGTTCTCTCTGTTGACTGCTGCCTCTCCCCACCGTCCAGTCCTCCGACTGAGGGTGTAGGAGCCCAGAAAGCTTCTTTCTCTCAAGATTTGCTTTTCTTCCCTTGTCTGGGATTGGTCTCTCCACCATCAGACAGAAGGACATTGAGCACTTCTTGGAGATGAGCAGGAACAAGTTCATCGGCTTCACCCTGGGGCAGTAAGTGACTAGACGGTCAGAACTGGCCACAGAGTAGGTGCTGGCAGGGTGGGAGCAGGCGGCTTGGATAAAGGATGTGGCCTGGTGGTCCTAGCGCAGCTAGAGCCCCAGGCCCAGGCAGCTCCAGTGGCGACTTCGGGCTCTTTCTGTGGATTTCCTTTCCCTGGGTTTCTTCCACTCTCCTCAAGGAGCCCTGGTGTTTTCAGCCAGGTGTAGGACCTTGCGCAAGAGGTCCTTTCCCTTCTGAGCCTCAACTTCCTCATGGGAGTCTTGATCAGATGGTCCCTCAGGCTCTTCCTGCTCTGATTGGCTAAGATTCTATGAAGAGGAGACATGGTCAGAACAGATACCGTTGTCCCCGTTTCCCACCCCCAGGAACTCCTCTCACCAGTCTCTTCACAGTCCAAAGGCTTCATGCCTGGGGCTTCACAGCTAAGGTGTGACTGGGCTGCACTCCCTTTCAAGAGGGCCCTGCCACTCCCATACCGAGTGAGTTCCTCAGAGACTCTGCAGACCTCCTGATGTGCAGGAACCTGTCTGTAGACCATTGCATTTGTTGTGTCCTGAAGCACTAATGAGAGACCTGGAAGCTTACCAAGGAAGGGGCAGGGCACCAGGGGTCGATGAAGGTAAATGGCTCACGGGATGCCAGGGAGTCGCCGTAGCTCTCTGTGCTTCTAATGCTGTGCTCTTATGTGTCTGGCCTTTCCCAGGGACACAGACACCTTGGTTGGATTGCCCAGGCCCATCCATGAGAGTGTGAAGACCCTAAAACAGGTGAGCGGGCAGGCTCTCAGGCTTCAGGGACAGGGAGTCCTGGGGCAAGTCGGGTGACCAGGGTTCCAGCACTAGGCAGGGCTCGTGTACCAGATTCTTTCTGGATCTTCCGTGGTTCCTCTGTAAACCTTTGGCCAAATAGGAAAAATCCAGTCTCTCCCGCCTCACCCCGTTTCCTACATTCAGACAGATGGAAAGTGCTCCTTCTTCCTCTTGCTCCTTTCCCCTTCCCATCCTTCTCTCACATGCCCCACTGCTCTCTTCCTTTCCTTTCACTAATCTCCCCCTATACGTCTACTGATTACAGAGGCCCAGGGCCCAGTAGGCATCTGCTCTGTGTCCGCTGTGTGAGTGAGCATGGTGAGTGAAAATTCAGGCATACACACGCAGGCATCCAAACTCCCAGGACATGGCCCAAAGGCCCAGGCCCAGTCTTGGTTTCCTGTACTTTGTTTGAAGGTAAATGCTTCAGTATTTGCTTCTGTTCAACAAAGTAGAAACAGAGTAACAAACTCTGTGAAGAACGTTGGTGCTGATGATGCAGAGGTAATAAAGACTCTTGCCTCCAGCTAGTTCATGTCTGTGTGGGGGGACAGACCCATGAGGACACTTCCTCCTCTTGGTGAAGCAAGTAGGAGCCTGGACCATGTGTGATCGAGGCCCTGAGCCTTTGTGATGCCTTCTTGTCCCCGCCAGCACAAGTATGTCTCCATCGCAGACGTGCAGATGAAGAATGCAGAGGAGCTGGAAAAGTGCCCCATGTCCCTGGTGAGCCCCAGGGATCTGGAAGGAGGAGGAGGGAGGGAAGCTCTCTGGCTGGTACAGAGCACATGTGGATGCATTCAGTCAGCTCGTTGGGCTCTTAGTGCAGCCCGGGCAAACAGGCAAGGCCCCTGCTTTCGTGATATATTGAAATCAGGGAAGAAGGATAAACAAACAAGTAAACAAAGCCATCAGAGAATGGTAGCCCCAACAAAGAAGAGTCAGACAGGATGACATGATGGAAGTATTAGTGGATAGCTGGAGATCGGACAGTTGGGGCAGGTAGGCCTCTGAGAAGGTGCCACTTAAACTAAAGCCACAGGAGCATCGGGAAGGCGCATCCACGCAGAGAGAACAACTTACCAAGGAACAGCAGGCTTGGGGTTGGGGATGGTGTGAGAAGGCCAGGCGGGGCAGAGCACGGGGCAGACCTGGGGTCCTCAAGATGAGCCACAGGGGACCTGGGGCCACATAGCAGTAGCCCTGCAGCAACGGGAGGGAGCTACAGTTGACACACAGCACAGAGGAGGCCTTTAGAGATGATTGGAGGAATGCTGTGATCTAACTCAGGTTTTTACACATGGGGACTGGGCCAGGAGAGAGGAGAAGCGGGGAAACTGGTCAGGAAGCTCTTACCATAATCAAGGTGCGAGGTGATGCTCACCTCAACTGGGGGAGTAACCGCGAGGACAGGGAGAGGTAGATGAATTTGGCTTATATTTGGGAAGTGTAGCTGAAGGTATGCCATGGGTTACCCAACTCCCTTCCTTGCCCTCACTCCTGAGCCGCCTGCCTCTCCTTCAGGGCTTACAGAGCCTTGTAGAGCTCTCTGTGGGCCTCAGATTGACACCACAGGAAGGGCCGCTGTGTGGGCATCTGTTCCAGCATCCCAAGCCCTGAGTGTTCACCCAGACCTGCCTGATGATCCTATAGGAAAGGAAACTAGGACCAGAAAGGGCAGGTAACCTATTCAGGGTCATACAGTGAGTCATTAACAAGGCAAGGACAGCAACCTGGATCCGACTTCCAGCCTCAAGCTCTTTCTATTCCACCTCTCACAACCAAGGAAACCTGGCTTTTGGTCACCCGGAAAGTGACCTTGGCAAACTGTATGTCTTGCCATAGGGGGAAGAGGTGGTGCCAGAGACGCCATGTGAAATGCTCTACCAGGGAATGCTGCACAGCCTCCCCCAGTACATGGTAAGGTGCTGGCTGGGTCCCAGCTGCCCTTGCTGCTGTGAGGGACAGACAGCTCCAGCTGTTCCAAACTGGGCACTCCATTCCTTGACTTGTCCCCTGAGCCTTTGCCCTGTGACAAAGCATTCGCTGACACATGAGAATTCCAAGCCTTCCCTGGGCTCTTCTAAAGGTGCTGTCTCCCTGGTCCTTCTTGGGGAGGGGCAGAGTATGAGGTGGGGTCTCTGCAGGACATGTGGAGCCCTCCTCCTAGGTAAGCACTGGGTTCCACTGAGACTTGCTGCAGTCTGCCTTGTCCTAGATAGCTTCTAGCTGAGGATTGGGAAGGTTCCGACAGTTCGAGTTACAGGGAGGAAAAGGCTGGGAAAAGCTGGCCTTATCATTCCCACCTTATTTCTATGCACTGCTCCTTCTGTTTTCCCCTTTGGAAAGAGCAGTCTTTTTTTTTTTTTGAGTTGGGTTCTCACTCTGTTGGCCAAGCTGGTGTACGGTAGCATGATCATGGCTCACTATAGCCTCGACCCCCTGGGCTCAGGCGATCTTTTCACCTCAGCCTCCCAAGTAGCCGGGCTTACAGGCACTTGACACCACACCCGGCTGATTTTTTAGAATTTTGTAGAGATTGGGTTTCATTATGTTACCCAAGCTGGTTTTGAATTTGTGGGCTTAAGCAGTCCTCCCACCTCAGCCTCCCAAAGAACTGGGATTGCAGGTGTGAGCCACCGCACCTGGCTGGAAAGAGCAGTCTTTTGTTTTTGTTTTTTTTTTGAGTTGGAGTCTTACTCTGTGACCCAGACTGGAGTGCAGTGGCCGCTCCCAGCCACCGCAGCCTCGACCTGCT